TTATCGATCTGCAATAAATATCGGTAGTTTGGAAGTCTTTCTTTTGAAAAAAAGGCTGGAAACCATAAGCTTACACCCGATGAGTACTTTTTAACCTTTCCATCTTAAAAAATTGTCAACTTGCGTCAGGTGGTTGCGTTAATACATAAGTACCAAATTTTATTTGTTTTTTAACAATATTTGTTAAAAAAGCCCTATTAAAATCACAATCTAATGAAATTTGACAGTTTAAAATACCTATAATTTATGACATTGATTCTAAAATGATACTAAGATAATTACACATTAAAAGCTAGAAAACATTTATGACATTTATGTTTTGTAGAAACAATCCTCAACAAAATACTTATGCGTCTTTTTAATTTGAATCCTTCCCAGACATTTTGGGTAATTTATATCGATTTCCTTCTATTTAAGCATCTTTTCCAATAATTAGAAATTTGTCTCAATACACAAAAGAATGTCCTCACTAGTTTCTGTGTGTTTTATCTCCTAGCCTGCCAACCTCTCCACAATGTACTTATGAGGGTTTATTTGATCTGGTAAAAGTTAAATAGTCTAAAAGCCCCTGGCAGATGTGAAGCAAATTATTGCTGTGTCTGAAAGTAACTACAAAGTGAGACAAAGGTTTAAATAAGCTTCTTATTTAAAAAAAAAACTTAGAACATAGAGGCATGTTCTTATGCTAACAAAATCAACTGCAGCTCATGGTGATGTAATTAGACAAGAAGAGTCAAATTCAAACTAAAAATATCAACTAGTGGTCAAAGACTAATTTTAAGACAACTAATTAATTTTAAAACAACTAATTTTAAGCTGGCTTAGTAACTCTAAGTCATAACAAACTCAAATGTTTGCAGCGGTAATGCAAAGACAAATAATTACAAATTATCAGAGCTGGCAGGAACTAACGCAGGGAACAAGTGGAGGTCAGAAACACTCTTATCTTACACTCCAAAAACCTCGGTTTAAAAACCGCATAAGTGATTTGCATTCTGGTGAGGAAATAGAAATAGGAAATTATAGTAAAGGCTGAAATTGTAAACAACTAATTTGTATAATAATAACTGTACACATCATTGAAGAATAATTTTCTTTCTCTTTATGTATTCAGCTTCCTTTTCATTTTAGAATTTTTGGATTTAATTAAAGATTTCTGTTATTCTAAATAAAATAAAAGAAATTAGAATGTATAGAAAAAGCTGCTAATTTTACTTCTTTAGTAATACGAACATTTATAAGAAATATGAAATATAGATGATAAGGTCCGGTTACAGAGCTAATGTGGCATAACTTTTAGAATTTAGTGACACACCGAGCAGCAAAATATAGAAATGGCAAAACTTTTAGCATTTAGAACAGGCACTGGAAGCAGAATTTAGAAAGGCACCAGGCAGCAGCAATTAAGATCCACAAAGACTGCATCAGGTGGAAAAATGCCTAGTATCAGCCATGTGTATGATGCATTAAGACATACTACATGAATCCCTTAAATTGTCAGTTTTCAATTTCTTTATTAGTAAAAAAATTTCTTTCTATAATGCCTGTCTGTATGATAAGAAGCATTTCTGATATTTTCCATGCTCATCTCTAGTGAGAAGTAGAGAAAATAAAGGGAAGGTAAAAATGTTAAGAAAAAGATTCTAGTATCAGAAGTGAAACATTCAACTATAATGTTTTCATTGTTCTTCCAGACGTTCTCCAAAAAGTAAGAAATTACATTTAAATACCATGGAGACGTTTTCCATTTTGTCACATTTTTCTGGAATCTTCTAGAATCATGGGTCTATAAATCTTGCCTTCATATCCTTCTAAACTTTCCAAGCTGCAATGTCTAAAATCCTAAAGAAAAATTACTTCTACCAATTCTGTAAAAGCATAAAGCCAAAAATATTTTGAAAAAAAAAAAAAAAAAAAAAAAATCTCAGGGAAAAAAGTGTAAAATTAATTTTATAAAGAAACTAGGACTTAAAATCTAAATTATGTACTAGACTTAATTCTAAAATTAGATGTGGAAAAAAAAGAAAGAAAGAGAGAAAAAAATAAATAAAAAATGACTATAAAATCATTAATAATTAAATATTATTTAAATAATTCACTATTAATGCTAAAATATTAATAGTGTAAGTTAAATTTTTTCAAAAATACAAAGAGATAAATTAAAATTTATTAAGTGATTTTTTTTAATATAATTTTATTACTAAAAATAAAATTTTCAAGATGTAATTTCTACTGAAATTTTGCTCAGGTACATAAAAGAAGTGTAGGCTCCAGGTAGACTTATGATTTAACTGCAAAGTTAAGAAGTACTGAAGCAGGGATCCTGTGGGCTCGGTCGTAAATTAAGCTCTGGAGAAAACTGATGCAGATTCTGAGAATTCTGAGATAATTACATGGGAAAAACTCTTACTATAAAAAAAATAATAATACATTTTTAATTAATTACATAGCTATTTTGCTATTGCTAAGAACTGTTTCGTAAAAGGTGCTTTACAGCATCATACCTTGCTTATTTTTCACATTCAAAAATATTGTATAATATGTGGCAAAAATGGAACTTTATAATATGACAGTGAAAAATACAAATGATTTATTTTAATGTTATTTCTTAAATATAATTTCAAAATATTAGCATTATTTAAATGAAATTTATCAATGTTAGAATGTTCGAAAAAAAAAAAAAAAAAAAAAAATCGTTGAAAAATTCCCAGATTAGTTCTAGTATTTACATTCCTGGTCATTGTAGTGACATAGTCTATCTTTCAAAATTCATCATTCTTCTCCAATGTCACTCTTGGGATCTGTGGTCAAGACATTCATGCGAGATGCTAGACATGTCTGGCTCAATTACCTTTACAAGGTAATTGAGCCAGACATGTCTAGCTCGGTAAAACCATCGAAACTAGTCCTGTGAACATTTTGTAAATATAACGCTGACTTTTGTTGTTTGACTTCTGAATTAGTATGTCTAGCTCAGTTACTGCCAGATATTTTTCAGATATTGTAACATTAATATTACAACGTATTATTAATGGAGTGTAGGAAATTAAATTAGTCACATAATTATTTTCTCCTTTTGATTTTCAGATGATAAAATTAATTTAAACAAGACAAAAAATAAGTGAGTAAATACAGTAATTCTTTTAATATAGTTATGAATTTTCACCAAAATAGTGTAGTTACAACTTGTAAAGTATCTTCAATTTTTTTGTGCAAAAATCCTATAACATTTCCCTTTCAGACGCTAATAAGAAGTGTAAAATGTGCTATTTTTAACACACAAAACTCAGTAAAATTGTGAAAATTTATTAAAATCATGTTTTGAAACAGCAGTTTCAACAATCTGATCAAAATTAATACCCACTGCTTAGAAACTAGTCTACCACATTAAATATACTCTCATTCATTAAATAAAACATCATATCCAAACCAAATTTCAAAAGAAAAAACATCAAAACTTAATCATGAGAGAGATGAAAGAAAATTACTTATTTTAACTTAGCAATACCCATCTTAATCTGACTATACTCTCTTCCAGTCTTAAAACTACTAATATATGAATTTAAAATGTGTCATCTGGAAATTAATTTGCATCATGCCATTACATAAGATTAGCTCTCTGGATATTTTTTATCCAATCACAGTTCAAAATTGAAGCAAAGAGGCCAACTGAAAGGCACACTCACTTTTCTGCCTTCCTCTCGCTGTGCTAACATGTGCTACTGATTTGTTTGCTTCAACTATTGTCTAATGATATAACAAGCTATATAAAATTGTGGGAGTGCTTACCACACACATAATGATGATGTATACAGAATATTTATCCTAAAAATTAATTATAAGGAAATAAAATTATGTGCTGAATTCTACCTCTCCTATCATTTATATATACTATAAATAGCAGATCTGTAATGCAATCCAGGAAATATATGAACAAGTTTCTACTGTATTCTTTTATCACATATATTTCTAATTGTATCTGGATTTGTTATGGTATCCATTGCTGAAGACATTAAGAATTTTTTACTACTGTTAAATTAGGAACACAAACTGAAAAAAAAACTCAAATGACATTGATTGTAACATTTTTGTGGCTGATTATGATAGTTTTACTAATATCTAATTAGCCAAAACTTTTGCAAAAATTATTAGTGTACGATATCCTGGTAAATAAATTAAAATACTCTTTAACAGAATCACAATAAAATGCACAACAAAACTGCTATGAAACAAATAAGATTAAAATGATCAGAATACAGCCTATTCTTCTCCACAGCCCCCTTTCATTAAAATTTTAAATTCCTTATACTAAAATGTGAACATTTAAAATAATTGCACATATTTGTAATTATTTTTAAATTTACAACTACAGTAAGAATTTTACATGTCAACCAAAGTAATTTCTGCTTAGAAATAATCATACTTCCGAGTGAATAATTAAAAATTTATTTGATAATAAAGAAAGTAGCAAAGTAAAAATGAATTAATTGAATAGGAAATTTTTATACAAAAATTTTTAGATAAAATATTCATATATTTTATTACTTATATCTAGTTACTAACTAACGCAATTTATTGGTGTTTTTCAATATTTTTTTACTCCAAAACGGAATTTAAAGTTCTAATCAAAGTGCCAACATTAGAACTAATAAATTTTTAAAAAATATTCATCTTAATATATCTTAACGTCGTATCTTCACAGACTTACAAGTTCACATGCAATGAACGATTTTTACGTTTTCAAAAATAAATCACTAATAAACAATAATAATAATAAACAATAGTAATAAATTTTCACATTACTTTCAGAGAAAGAGAATTGGAGAGTCTTCGATTCTCACCTTCTCCAAGACGTTCGAATATATATATATATATATAAAGAATTTTTACTACTAGATTTATATCAAATAATTAAAATGAAAATGCTATACTGATAAAAGTGAATAAATTTATCTATATATCACAAACAAAGGTACAGAAAAAGAAAATAATTCTATTACCGAAACTTATAATCCATAAATTTATCTAAAATAATTGAATCGAAGTCTAATACAAGAAATTAACTGGCACAGTCAACATTGCAACAATTCTTTATCAGCAAGATTATCTGTTTTATCATACCTAAAACAAAAACTCATCGCGCCTTTGCTTTTTTCTATGCACACTATGTAGCTACCAACTTTCATCGCTAGATGGAGCCACCACCGCAAGATCTTGCTATCAAGTTGACTAGTAGTTGAGTACCTCTTTTGCGTGATTCTGTTATAAACTTGTGAGAAAATTCAAAAAATCAAAATGTGTAAATATAACCAACTAGCTCTTCTATATTGTCTGATTATCGCCTACTCCTTTAAGATCTTGATCTAGGCTATTAGATTTTAGAGGCCGTAGGATAATCCAGTGGCGAATTTAACATGCTGAGGGCCCTACATCTTCTGAACTTGGAAGCCTTTTATCTTAAACCAAAGAATATGTTTAAAATATTCTAAAAATTAATAAATGGTCTGTAAATCCATTGCAATTTCAGTATCACAAATCTGTCTGTAATGATAATTATTCTCTAACTCCTTATAATCACTTTCCTCTCATCTTAAATCAAAGAAATTGAGGACCTACGAAAATTATATGCGTAGCTCCTTTAGTTATATTTATAAGGCCTAGCTCACGCAATAAAAATTTTAACAACACATAATAATCATTAAAAATAATTTTATTTGTAAAAACCATATGTTTTCAGAGGCATAACTTGCATAACTGATGTTGAATTTCTTAAGATTTAACTTTTTGTTCAGTAATTTTAATTTCTTTTTTAAATATATATATATTTCTTTTTAAATTATTATTTTACTTACTTGAACTTCGATTTAAGCAATTTTATCGTTTTTTTTATTTCTTTACTCAAAGGGCAAGAAGAAGCTGAGAAGTGTGGCTGTAGGCGTTGCCAAGTGAGCTGGTGAATTTTGCTTCTCACTTGATCATCGTTGTTTATCACATGATTAAAAGATGTCTGTGAAGGTAGGAAGAATGCCGAAAGAAATTAGTTCAAGTGCTGCTGCAAAAGAACATACTTTGGTTGTGACGAGGGATTTTATATCTCAGCCAAGAATTAGTAAGAATTTTTAATTCCGAGTCAGATACTCAAATTAACATGTATATATGATTGAGCATATTGGTATTTAATTTGGGCGTTTTAAACATTTACTAATGTAAAAGAAGCATAAAAAAATTAAAGCATTAAACTGTGTTTTCGTAATATAAAAAATAAACATTATTAAATGATAGTGGTTTCAAAAAGTATAGAATTGTAGTTTTACTTAATTATGAACAACATTTTTAATGCACTTATTAACAATATATTATATTATATACCTTGCAATATATATATCATATACCTTGCAAATGATGCTTTACATTTGAAAATCACCTAGAATATCTTAGATTTTATATGTATAGAGAGCATATAGATATACTTAAGAATATGCCTATTTCTTCCATGTACCTTTGCTGTCTTCAGACAATAGAGTCATAAATTCCTCTACTTATCTTTTCAGGTATTGTTGAAGTAGGACATAAAATTGAATTTTATAGCGTTATTATTGAAACCTTTTTTTTTTTTCATTCATTCTGTGTGGGGGTTGAAGGGGTTGATTATGAAAGCTATAAAAATTAGTTAACTTTTAGTTTTCATAAAGATTTAATTTTCCAAATCTTATTGTTCACATTGGTTAGGTTTGCAAATATGAGATCTAAATTTTTTAGATTTTCATGTATATAGGTCATCTAACTCAATGCATAATTCTTAAATCTCTAGGTATATAAGCATTTAAATTTAGATTAATTTAATAATTGTATATTGCAATTGATCTAGGTCAGTATTTTTTTACCTTTCTGGTAAAGCAGCTTCAGATTATTTTTATTACATTGATTATAGTTAGTATTCTTTATATAAAAGTAATTTGCAATTAGATTTTATTTTATTCCTCTTTCTTTTTTGAATATTTACTGTGATATATTTTATACATTATTTAAATGCTAGTAATTAAAGATATAACTTCTGAGAGAGATTTTCATTTTCTCTTTTATGAATGACTATGGAATTTAATTAAAATTTTTCCTAAAGAGAAACCAAGAATTATTTTTGATTTTATTCTTCCCTTTTTTCTTCCCCCCCCTCTCTCCTTTTTATTATTAACCTGTTTTCTGAAAAATTGACTAAATGACATAATTTGGATAATTGCGTAAGATCAATAAATAAACTAGCTGAAGAAAAATAATTTTATCACTAACTTAGCACAATATCAGATAGTAAATACTGCATATTGAAATTATTTTATTCAAAAATAAGGATGGATTATTAAGAATGTCATACTGATAAAAGTTTTACAAAGGAAAAGTATAAGTATTTTAATTTATATTTTTAAGTAAAGTGGTATCATGTACCATTTAATGCAATTTGTGCTGCTCAGAAATTCTGCTCCATTGCTTTAGAGGTTATACTGATCTTAAGAATGATTATGGCCAGAATTACTATTCTGAAAACTCTGATGATTCAGAGACAATATGGATAATATAACTTGAACTAAACACACTATATGCTAGTAATATTAATAATTTGTAATTATTATTATTCTTTAATGTAATAATAATATTAATAAAAATCTTAAAAGTATATAAATAATAATGATTATAATTTTAGTGAAAATTGAGCTTAGCAATTGGAACTCTGCTGTATTTTAATGTATGCTTATTGGTAAGGCTCCCTTAAATTTTCTTCGTTTATTCTTTCTATTTCCATTTAATAGATATTCACATTCTTGCTCATAATAATAATTTAGATTTTGGGATTAGAGTATTTATCGTTGAATTGTGAATGGAAGCATTTAGATGAATTTGCAGTAGTATCTTTCATATGTTATTTAGAGTTTTATTACAATTATTCTTAAGATGTAGAAACTGTTTCAGTCGTGGCTGAAGAGAAAGCAGCTTAAAGGAGATAACATGACTTAGGCAAGCATCAGTGAGAAGAAATGAGTTATATATGCTAGTTTGCTGGAGATGATTTCATGCTCTTCAAATAATGTATCTGAAGAGATATTCAAAGCAAGTCATGGCTAATTTGAAATGTCTGAAGGGCAAACTGTCATTCATTCCATCATAAGGCAGGTAAAGCAGCAGCAGAATTCCTCAAAGCTTTTGTAACACGGATAGAAACTGTAGGTACAGACCTTCCCAGCATGTCTTCAACTGTGACAAGATGGCTGTTCTGGAAAAAAATCTCAAGCAGGACTTTCATAATGGTATAGAGGACAAAGGTAACCACAAACTCATGAAAGTTTGGTTGACCCTTGCGCTGCATTCAGATTCAATTAGCGACTTACAAAATAAAATCAGCTTGTATACCATTTACGAAATGCTGGCAGTTCTTCGTAGAGTGGATCAACCCGGCCTTTGGTTTTGCTGTTGAAAAGTATCTGAGGAAAACTAACCTAGCAGCCCTTCTTTTACTTGGCAATGCTGAACCAGAGAGTTAAAAGTTAGTTCTCCAACACCATCCCCTCAGGCCACAGATCAACACATTTTGAAGTTTAGAAACTCCTGAAACCTTGAAAAGTTCAAGGGCTTTCAGCACTATCCCTATTCTATAGCCCATACATCAACAGATGATTTCAAATTTTAGAAAACTCTTCTTTGGACACTTGTTTTGCCTCTGCTTTGATATGATGGACAGCATTAATCTCTCTAATGCAAGTTCTGGAAGAATCATTAAATTTTTTCAAAAAGCCTGAAAATTATGAGTTTGGTAAGGCAATGTGTTTCAAGCAGAGCCAGAACTGTGTTGAAGAAGCTGCAGTCTGAGGCTGTGTCCAAAAGAGATTTGAGATTCAAACTCGAACCTGTAGAGGAAGTGTTGAAGGAGATTCTGTGCCTTGGAAACTCCATAGTCTGGAGGTGAATGAGGAAAATGTAAATGAACTTGCTGAGGATCATTCAGAGAAACTTAACAATGAAAGAGTTAAATAAAGTACAAATCAAGGAGCGTAGAAAATTTTTGGAAGAAATTAATAATGAGGAATTGGAGGTATAGGAGTGTATCATTTCAGATTAAATTAAGGGTATTCTGGGATGCAGAGTCCTACTTCACTGAAAAAATTGCAACATGCTGCGTTACAGCCAACGCTGTGGAGTCTGAATCGGAGTCAGGCAGGTTTCGGGGTAAAAGGAGTCTGAGCTGGAGTAGCTAAAAACAGGTCGACTCCATGGACAGTTTGAATTTCAAATGAAATTAAAATGAATTGAAAAAAATTAATGACAAGCTGAGTTATTATTTTTATTTATGGACTGTATACATTAATAAATAGTTATTTTCTATTTTATTGACCTATTAATAAATAATATAAGTGAGGAGGGTGGATGTAATATTTGCTATTAGTGATTAAACCGATTCATTTAGTTACAAATCTCACTGGTAAATTTAGGTAAGCAGCAATAGGAGGAAGAACTCCTAAAATTGATGCCGTTCTTAGGAAGCGAGCATGAAAAGGAGCAATTATTGATAAAGCAATGCGATAAGAAAATACATATTTGATTTATAAAGAGGTTTTTTTAGAATTAAGAACCTTTTTAGAAGCTGTAGATAACCCTAATGTTTCACTAACAGAAAGACTGTGGAATGATCTTGCAAAATTAGAGACTCATCTTTCTATACCATGTATAGCCACAAAAAAGCTGCAATCTGAAGCATTGACAGGAGGCAAGAATGGGATTTTGTTCGTTCTGAAATGGAGGGTTTATTGCAGAAGGAATAATTTCTTCAATGAGCAAAAGAGAAGCTAGTTTGCTAGACAATGAGATCTAGCTGGGTTCAACATATGGAGATCTGAAACACCGAATTTTCTTGGATGACGAACAAATTAAAAAGGCAAAGAAAGTCATCTATGAACTTTCATTAAGAATGAAATTATTCTCAGAACAATTGGAGAATTCGAGTCAGGACAGTCAAACTGCAGACATTGCAATTGAGTCTCTATCATCCTTTTCCATTGATGAATTAGATTTTGAGAAAAATTTTTATATAATATTGAAAAGGCTAAGACAAAGTGAATGAAAATAAAAAGAAAAGAGCCTTTAGATATAAAAATGAAAAAATACAAACAAGATTTCTACATGGCCTATGAAGAAATCGAGAAATAATGATTCTGCTTGCAAGACACCTCTTTTAGAAGTTATAAAAAAAATCTATCCTGAAAAGATAAAAGAAGTATCCTTAACAGTAATAGCTCTTCCTCCTACTCAAGTTAGTGTGGAAAAACTCTTTTCAGCTCTGAAGCTTATCAAATCGGATCTACAATAGCCCTCCAACAAAGGAAATCTTGTCGAAGCTATAATGTTTCTTAGAAATAACTAATGCCAGTTTTTCCATTTCATAATAAATGCTAATTAATATAAATAATTTGCTATGCCATCAGTGTTTTTTTGCTGTGGCATCTACTACTTCTTTTATATTAAAAAAATAAGCTGTAACCCATTATATGTTTACATATATATATATATATATATATGTATGAGGGAGATATATATATATATAAGGGAGACAGTGTCGTTAAAATTCCATTAGTCGGAGTCTGTCATTTTCCGTACCGACTTCACAGTCCTGGTTACCGCACTTGCTTAACACATTTCAGAAAGACTCTTAAAAAGAGAATGAAACAAACTTCTTTGGACAAGTTCTATTGAAATGCATTTGAATGAAACTTGGAATGAAAGTAAAAGAGTAGTGGAGGAAAAAGGTAGCAAAAGCTGGTAATATATAATGAAGGTATGATATGTGTAAATAAAATACAGGAATTAAACTCTATAAAATTAATTTATTTCTTTATGTTCTCTTTTACATACTTGTATTATGTTTTATGAAAGTTTTATTAGCTTTCTATATAATACAATGCATAGGGGATTATTTAGAGTAAAGGAATGAGTTAATGGCATTTAAATGTATTTGAATGGGAAAAATTATTTCAGGTTATAAATAGATTGGCATACAAGCTTGGTCTTGTAACAGATTACTCGTATGCAGAGGTGCCGCTGTGTTTTTTAATTATTTCATATCTTATCTATCGTATCACATCAAATTACAAACAAAATGTTTAATATTTTTAATTAAAAAACTTTCTTTTATACACCAGTAATGGACGTTTCAATTAGGTGAGGTGCTCTGTATTTCAACAAAATATGCAAGATTTGGAGGGGGAAGATCTGTGTTTTTTTATACATTGTCATTAACATAGTTGCTAAAATATATGATTAAACATAGATAATAGCTGAACTGGTTATTGGGGAAATGTTTTATTAAAAGCATTCAGAATATGTACTTAGGATGTATTATACTTTATTTATATTTTTGTATGCTATTTGATTTTTTTTAAAGGTTACTTAAGCCAATAGTGTGTATTATGAAAGTGCTTGTAGTTTATATTTCAATGTTGCATAATTATTAACTAATACAATCTAAACAACCACCTATTCATGAAAAATAATTTTAAAACTGAAAATTAGTTTTACACCATCAAGGGTAACTTGTCTGCCATTATCATTTGATAATGTACAATTCATTCAGAACTGTTGCATTTTTTTACTATTCATTCAAAAGTATTCTATTTATCCTTTTTTTGGAGGGTGGCTGCTAGAACACATCTAGTATTTTAATTATTTTATATGCCATTTTGTCTTCTCTTTTTAGAATTATATCATTAGTATCATTTTTATAGGTAAAACATTATGTATCTGTTGTTATTTAGTGCTTACTCTTTTATATTTTAATTACATCATTGGATCTGAATAAATGCTACAAACATTTCCATGATGTTTAAATGTAATTTGAAAAAAAAAAATTATTTAAAGTGATTATTCTGATTTATTTGACTGTGATGATGAATATATTTTGTGGCATATATTTTCTATTAATATTGATTATTAACATTTTTTTAAGCATACAAAACAGTTTCTGGTGTAAATGGCCCTCTTGTCATTTTGGATGATGTTAAGGTATGTTTTATATTCATAAAAATGTTTTTCTATTTTATGCATCATGTTTTTATGTTATAGCTGCTAATTTCAAGTTACTGTGGTTCTAAATAAATCAAACTCTAGTTTAAATATCAGGTTTTTTTTTTTTTTTTTTTTTTGTTTGTTTGTTATAAACATTTTTTATATTTATCTTCTACTATCCCATTTTACCTTCGATATCAGAAGAATTATGATGGAAAATGAGTATACAATCAATTATCCAATGAAAGACATCTCGTCACAACACAAACAGTTTAATATTACAATTCTATTTACAGTCTAATTAAGTGTTAGTTTTAGCTTTGACACCTCAAAGCAATACTCAAAAATTAAATGGCATAAAATATTACTCATCAGGTTTTTAAATACTCATGAAAAACATCTCAAAAAGTCATTATTCTCATTACTTAAAACGAAAGTAAAACAATAGAACAAACTCGAAAACGTAGATGTCAAAACTCAACTGTGCCAATCGCGATTTACTAAATTACATCAAAATAAAGATAATAATCAGGTAGAGGTTCAACTTCACATCCTCCCACCTAAGTTATATTTTTTACCTCAAAAATTTAACTTACAATAGAAAATTGTGAATATTTATAAGTTACAAAAGAAAATTATAAGTAATTCATAAGTCCAGTCTCTTAGGTACTTTGATTGTACTACCTGCTCTAGTCTTTTGAAGCTGAGGTTCAAGTCCACACACGTTATCAAAGGAAGAATTGGCACAGGTTTCACCTCCCACCTTCGCGGTTGAAAATTTCTCAATAATGGGATCATCGTTGGAAACTTCAAGTGGATACAATCTTTGAATTGGTCTTAGCAAGTGTCCATTAGCTGTTTTAAGCTTGACAAGTCTTGTAATTCCATCTTTTCCTGGAAGAATCTGAATTATTTACCTAATGGCCAATTGATTAGCTTGGTGTTATCACTTCCTATCAATACATATCACCAATATTCACTTTCACCAGATTTTTTTTGTTTCCTGCTTTTTGAATAAGTGCTCCTAAATATTCAGACCTAAACCTGTTTCTCAAATCCTTTTGCAAGTTTTCTCTATATTTGACTCGCTTATTAAGACTTTTATGCCCAATGTCATCAAGATCTGGAACACCACTTATTTGATTATCTTGCAGAAATAGAGATGGACTTAAAGGCATTAAAGTAGCATCACTTTTAGTTACATATGTCAATGGACGGGAATTAATTACTGCTTCACAGTCACAGAGAGTCGTGTTCATTTCTTCAGAAGTTAGCGAAGCTCTTCCTAATACTCGTCTCAGCAATTTGTTAAAAATTCCTATCAATCTCTCCCACCAGCCTCCCCACCAGGAGGCAGTTGGTGGGTTGAACTTCCACTGAATTGGTGGTATAGATGTGTCTTCAGTGATTTGCTTCCAGTTTAAGTCTTGAAGTACATTTGAAGCACCAACAAAATTGGTTCTGTTGTCACAGTATATGATTCTGCTCCGTCCTCTACGAGCTATAAATCTTCTAAGAGCTAGTAGAAAACTCTCAGTAGACATCGATTCAACCAACTCTAAATGGACTGCCCTATAAATGGCGCAGGTAAATAAACAAATCCAAGATTTCTTGTTGCCTTTCAGGATTACTGGTCCCGCAAGATCAACTCCACAGATTTCAAATAAAGCTGCTTCTCATAATCTATCTTCTGGAGGAGCCCCAGTATAAGTTTCTAGGTTCTTTGCAGAAAATCTTCTACACACTGTGCATTGATTGATGATAGATCTCACAGTTTTACGAGCATTCAGAATCCAAAATCTCTCTCTCGTAGAATATTTATTAAAATTTGAGTACCAGCATGTGCATTTTTCTCATGATAGTATCGCAGTAGTCTCTTGACAACCTCATGATTGGATGGAAGAATAGCTGGCGTTTTAAAGTCTTCTGTATCCTCACGATAAGTTTAGTTTTTAGTCTGAGGATTCCACTTTGATCCTTGAATACTCCTAAAGTTCTTAATTTCTTATCCTTTTCATTCACAAAACAATCTTCTTGAACCATTTTGATCAATAACTTCTCAGCCTCAAAAATTTCATCAGAATCAAGGTTTCCATGCTTTCTCACTGTTTTTTCTGTTCGACAATTGGAGGTGAATCTTAGGATCCAGGCAATTAGATTAACTATCCTTTTGTATTGGGAAAAATATCTGTAATACCAGTCTCTCTTGGTAACCAAGCATGCAGAAACTAAACATTTAGTTACAGAAGAAACTATGCTCTTTTTCTTTTCTCTAACAATCTCAATCTCATCTAAATTTAAGTCACCTTTAGGCCAATCTTCTTCAGGCAAGTAAAGCCAACTTAGACCTAACTACCACTGAGATTTCAATAAGGAGAGAGCTGAACAACCTCTACTCGGAAGATCAGCTGGATTCATGCAACCAGGAATATGTCTTCAAGAATTTTTATTTGTTAGTCTTCTTATTTCCTTCACCCTATTCTGGACAAATACACTCCAGGTTTCTTCTCTCGTTATCCATGCTAAAGCAGTAGAAGAATCAGTCCAGAAGTAAACTTCTTCACTCTGTATCTCAGACAAAATTGAGGACAAAAGGCAAGACGCTATAGTAGCTGCAAGTAATTCCAATCTCGCGATAGTAGTTTCTTCTTTTCCAGTTGGTGTAACTCTACTCCTGGCTTGTATCAGTTCTACTTTAGTAGAATCAAAAGTTTTTATACGAATGAAAGCAGCCACGGCATAAGCATGCTTACTGGCATCACAGAAAATATGTACTGAAGTATTTTCACTCGTACTCCTTGAACCAAAATATCTTGGAAAATGGATCTTTTCCAGATAGTCAATATCTTTCAACCATTTTAAAAATGTAGTTCTCATACAGGTATCAACTTCTTCATCCCAAGTTATCTTCTGCTTCCAAGTTTCTTGAAGTAATAACTTAGGGATAAGGATAACAGGACAACATATACCAAGAGGATCAAACAATCTATGAGCTGTAGATAAGATTAAGCGCTTAGTCACTTTTTCAAAACATAACTCTTTTATACTACCAGTATTTATCCTTAGAGTGTCAGATTTTTTATTCCATATTAAACTGAGCACATTTATATCAGCAGAAGCATCAGCATTAATATCATTGAACTCCCACCCTCTAAGCTCAAATTTTCTCTCAGCCATTACCTCAGTTGATACGCTAATAAAATGATTGAGTTCTTCTTCATTTTTAACACAACTGACGCAATTGTCAACATAAAAAACTATGCATAAGTTTTTGAATGACACCTTTCGTATATAAGGATTCACCGGTTTCTATTTTCTCTAAAACAGTTTGTAAATGAAGCTGAATAGTAGAGTTTAGAAGAAAAGGGCTACTTGCTACACCAAAACTACACGGCAGTGCCTGTATACTTTCATTTGACCATCACTATCAAGCCATAAAAACCGCAAAAAGTCTCTATCAGTAGGTGAAACACTTATTTGAAGAAAGGCTCTTCGTATATCAGCAATAACACCAATCTTTTCTTTCCGAAAGCGTGTTAAAATACTCGGAAGCTGTTCTATTAGATTTGGGCTTTTTTCTAAGCAGTGATTAAGACTAGGAAATCCCTTTACTTTGGCTGAAGCATCAAATACTGGTCGGAGTTTTGTAGTGCTATTCTTTTTGATAACTTCTCGATGAGGAAGGTAAAGAACTTGCCCTTGATAATTTTTATCAGCCTCTTCAATTACTCCCTCTTCTAGCCATTCCTTGAAAACATCTCCATGAGCTTCATAATTGGACTCGATTTTAAGACGTTTAACAGTTTTGTTCAGTCTTCTCTCGGCTAAGTCAAAATAGTCTGTTAGTGGTGGATGATATTCCAACCAGGATAAATCAACCTCAAAACGATCATCGACTATATGAACTGTATTTAGAAAATGTAACCAAGCAGCTTCTTGTAGTTCAGTCTGGTTTTTCTTGACTGATGGGTCAGTGATCCCAAGTCCATAGATCTGTTATGGTCACCACAGTAGATAACAAGGATGTAACTAAGAACGATGATGAAAACTCACTTTTCGAAGTATTCGGCATTCGTCCCATAACTGACCATCCAAATTTGGTCTCGATAGCTACAAGACCACAAGGCAACTCACGACGACCACCTGTCATGAGTTTTCCAGCTACATCAGCCCCAATAAGAATCTCAATAGGATTTTGACAATCATCCACAATATTTATATTACAGGCTGCTAACTCTTTCAGACAAAGCTTGTTGACAATAGGTGGCACTGACTTACAAATAATTTGTTGACTAAGAACTTTAAAGTCGCAATTATAATTCCCATGCACACTCGATAAATATAAAGTGTATACATCATGCTTGCATATCCCTGAGTCCTTCCCTCCAAATAAAGAGTGTTGTAAATATTCACAACTCTGACGTTCATAGTTCATTTCTTTAGCTCTACTTTTTAATGAATATGATCGCTGTGAAGCAGTATCGATAATAGCTCTTGCGACGGGTTTTTTCCCATTACTTCTAATTATAACTTTGAATGTTTGAAGCATTACGTCCGGAGTAGAAGATAAATTTGAAAGAGATTGATCCACTTCAGCACTAATGTTAGTTTTCTTTTCAACTTCAGGTGATTCTTCATTTTTTGACATAGTTATTTGGTGCATCTTTCTACACAGAAAAATATGGTGTTTTTTACCACAACACAAGCAACCAGCTTTCAAGTTACAATCCTTGACTGAATGTCCAGATTTCAAACATAAAAAACACTTGTGAGATTGATGAACCAGTGACTCCCTCTGCCTTAAAGGTATTTTTTTTACTTTTAGACAGTCTCCAGAAAAATGTGAATTAGAACAGAATATGCACTGTTTTGATACTTGAGATGAGGTTAGAAGGTCTGTTGCACTAGGTATATTTGAAAACTTTCTACTCTTACATTTGTTCTCTATTACCTTTTTCTCATATGAAAGATTATGTTTTACTTCTGCTTTTGGTTTC